AGAAAATGTAATACACACAGCACACACACGCACACACAGAGAGACGATGGAGTATTTAGGTAGGAGAATGTGTAACTTTGAGAGCATAATGCTAAGCTAAATAAACAGACACAGAAAGCTAAATATCCCACAGGTTCACTTATAAGAGAAACTCAAAATACAATTAACCTAAAAAGCAAGATAAAAGATAAACAGTGTGGGATGCTTTGTGGAAATGAGAAGGAGATCTAATGATAGAGGAAAATAGAAGGAAGAGTAGAAAAAGAAGAAGTAGAAAGGATCAAGATGTGATATGTGTATTACCAACCCTCCGTGAGGAATGAATTTATTATACAATTATCTGAAAACACACAATAATTTTTAAAAAGCTTTTAAAAAATGTAAAAGCTTTTTTTAAAAAAATTTAAAAAGAAGCCTCCATGTATCCATTACCCAGCTTCAATAATTATCATCTCACAGCCAATATTCTTACCACCACATCTCAAGCCACTGTGACTCGGCTGTCAGACATGCGCTCTCCTCGGTGAGTACTTTAGTAAGATTCTGCTCCTGCAAACAGCTGCAGTGCCATCATCACAGCCCGGCTATCAACAGTCATCCTCCCAGGTCACCAAGCTTCTCATCAACGTTGTCCTTCTCAGAACTGCCCAGTAAACCCTCACTGCTTATCTTTCCATTTATGGGCAGTGTGTCTGAACCAGGATAAAAATGTAGTCCAGCTTCTGTGACTGGTTAGCGAGTGTTTTCTCAACCTTACTTTTTTTTCTGTTTGTTTTCTCTTTAAAGGCATTATTTTGTTGAATGGTTTTCATTTGAATGGTGTTCAACCAACGTTTAATGGCTACTTTATCACTAGGCTTCATTCATATACACTTATCACTGGTCTCTATTCAAATCATATCACGAGTATTTTTAAATGTCCACAAATTCCTTCATATTTCTCCCTTCATACAATGCAGTTTACTTCCACTCCCACTGGCTACCCACGAGGCTTAGTGACCTGCTTCTGGCGGGCAGAAGAGGCAGGAAGCAAGGTGTGAAAGGCCTCGGACACCAAGGCCTGTGGCTATCTCCGTGATCTCCTGCGTCTGGGATCTCTCACTTTGGGAGCAACCACGTTGTGAGGCCACTCAGGCAGCTCACAGAGATGTCCGTCTGTGTGGAGGAGGAGAAGCTTTCTCTCACTGGCCAGTGTTGGAGCTGAGGCCTCCCCTCAGTGACCATCAGAGTAGCTGACCTGGCAGCCTTCAGACGAGAGCCACCCCCGCTGACCGCTTGACTGTCACCTCAGCCAACACTGCACAGCTTCAGCTAACTGCATCCCAGACTCCTGACACACACGGACTGTCAATCAATAAATGCTTATTGTTAAGGGAGCTAAATTCTGAGGTGATCTGTTACCCAATAAAATACAACCAAAGCTATAAATAAACAGCCAACACACAACACTACCTGGCCTCATATCTGAGAACACCCTTCGTTTCCAGTTCAGTAGGTCCAAACTCCACTGCCTTTTCAAGCTCCCAGACACCTTCTCCAGAGAGCTCTCCTGAGCCCTCCACTTCCCAGCTCTCCAACAACTTGGAGACAAGTACTTCTGGAGTCCCTAAAGAACTCTGTTGGCATCTGCTCCTAAGTCAAGCTCCCCTTACTCCCTGAACCCAATTCAGTTAAAGACAAAATCAACCCATCTAATGTTTACCTGCCTGAAATGTCATTTAACCATACAGTTTCACCAAACCAAACTGTTTCTCAGATAACCCAGGAACGCTGATTCCTGCCCTCATCTGCCTGGGCCTTGACCTACAGCCCTTCTGTTCATGGGGCCCTCTCCTAAAAACCTATTTCAACACATTCCTGCCAGCGTGGCCCACCAATGGTGCATACATGACTGTCCCCGCAGACAGCCTATACTATCACACTGGTGACAGAAGTGGTACAGTTGTGCACAAAACAGCCACGCACTACCACCACTGGCTCAAGCTGCCCAGCAGCACGACATGTGAAGCATGGCTCCGTCTCCCCCTCACACCTACCATCCCACCACTACTGCCTTTGTCTTCTCCATAGTACTCACCTGATTTGCACTTCATGATACATCCATCAGCTGCCTTGTCCTCTCCAGACTGTAAGTTCCAGGAAAGCGTGATGTGTTCCGTCCAGGTACCCAGTGGTACCACCCCCTCAGAGTACAGGTACCCAGTGTACCACCCACTACAGAGTCAATGCCCAGTAAAAACTTGCTGAGATGATGTTTAAGACTGAAGCATTTCATACTCCACACAATGGATGCAATACTAAACACTCTGCCACTTTAGGCCTTAATCAATGGTAAGGAAGCCTAATCAATCTCCCTCACTAAAAACAAAATAAGACCTTGAAACAGCCTTAAAAAGGCAATGTTTTTAAAAAGACAATTTAAGGAAAAGTAGCCAAAATGAGCTACTATCTGGTACTTCGTTAGCAGCTCAATTAAGTATTTTTTGAAGTTACTATGTCACTATTTAATTTGATGAATGACCAAATGTGCCCTTCCTTTATACCCTCCTCAACTTGTGGCTCATTTATCATTTCAAAATCTCCTGAAGGGCAAGACTGGATCTTGTACCTCTTAATCCCTTCAGGGACCACATAAGGACCTGTAATCTATGAATGTTTATTAAGCAAATATCAGAATTGACAGCATCTTAGACTAGTCCCTCTCCCTACCCAAAGCACACAGCAGTCACCACTATCTATATACAACATTTCTTCCTACAACAATACTACCATTGAAAAAGTATCTTGATTCATTAGATGAAGTCTCCAGAGCGAATTACTAACAACTTTTATTTTAGCAAAGCCAAGTCAGAGCTGAAACCTTAGCATCCTCCTTGACTCACAACATTCTTGTCTAAACTACAACGCTGCTAACAAAAGAAGAGGTTGATCCTCTATCTGACAAACGGTTCTTACTAAGTCCATAGACTCTACATACACATCTTAAAGGGTTAAATTCTAACAGTGGATGGTGATGTTCAAGATTATTAATGTTGCTTATAAATTACTTCAGTTTATTTAAGTAATATTACAAAAAAAAAAAACTGCAATACAAAATAATGTGACTGTTGATCACTAAGGCACAATTCAGCTCAGAATTGTTCTTTGTTTTTAAGACCAGAACAAGGCTGGAAGGAAAGTGCCTGGCTGCATGATATAATCAAAGTTTTATACCATTCCAAGGACACATTTACATTCATGCCAAAAAAGAACTGTTATCCTAAAGAGAAGGGTGAGCAAACTAGAATTTACAGGCCAAAGCCATCCCACAATCTGTTTTTATATGGCCTGAAAGTGAAGAATGATTTTTATATTTTTAAATTATCAAGCAAACAAGCAAAAGAAAAATAACATATATAAAACTCAAATTTCAGTGTCCATAAATAAAGAGTTATGGAATACATTTTTGTACTGTCTTTGGCTGTGTTTGTGCTGGGTAAGGTCAACAGAAGCCACATGGCCTCCGAGCTGGACACACTTTTATGCCCTTTATAGAAGGTGCTCCTGCCCTCTTTCCTCACAACATGGATACTGGGACCCAATAACCTCTGTTTAAACCTTAACACTGTGACCAACTGATGAACTGTGTGGACTTGAACGAATTACTGAACCACTCTGAACTTCAGTTTTCTCTGCTGTAAAGGAATAAAATACCTACCTTACAGGACCACTATGATTTGTAAACTAACACATATGGAACATTTAAAACAGTAACTAGCATACAATCACTATGATTAATTATACCTACTACTCCGCCTCATTATCAACAGCTTCAAATTGTTTCCCAACTGAAAACCTCACAAAGTGGTAAGACTTCAAACTAGCCCCCAAATCTATCTATCATGGTAGAACTAAAGTATTATGAGACAAGAAAAAAAAAAAATGACCAAAGAAATAAATAAATAAAACAGAAGAACGATTAAGGAGGGTACCAGAAAGGGCAGACGTTATACAGACCCCGCTCAGCAAAAACAGTAGGTGGTCAGATCACAGGGGAAGTATAAATTAGGGTAATTTCATTAAATAACTTCTGTGGGTTCACTGATTACTAATCATCACGTGGGAATTGTCTCTACGGGGGGGGAAAAGCATCCTAAATTCCAATCGAGTGACTTACAAATGAACTGCTGGGTCAAGTCCATGTTTAAACTGAGGACTTCCTGTATTTTACATTCCTCAACAAGTGATACTTGCACTAAATCCTACATCTTACTAACCACGTAGAACAGCTCATTAAGAGGAGACGATTTGTGTCAGGCCCCAGTATGTATAAAGGACTGTTTCCTGCCCAACTCGGAGGAGGTCAGAGATACTCTTCCTTATCTCTCAGCGCTCAATGTACCAGCTTCGCACTTACTCCCTAACACAAAGAAAAGCCCAAGTTCCATAAATAGAGGCCAAGCTCACTCACCATAAATGGATCCACATGCCAGCCACAGCGTAAACGTGGTGCTAAAACATACACTTGATTTGCTACTAAGGATGAAAAAGTGTCTCCTTCTCAGGACTTGCTTTCATTTGAATACCTTCTCTGTGCAAAGCTGAGTTCCTGCCTTTTCTATTTTGTTTAAAACTTATACTCACTGTTCTTTCTGATTATTTCAAAACTCTAGACCTGAGCAACGCCTCTCCCTCTTAAAGAAAGAATCTTTAAAACTCACTACTCCACCACAGTCAAATAACTACCTTTATTATTCCCTTCCCATCTTGATCCCTATAATCCTGGCTATTGCTATGGTTTATCCTTCTGGTAAATTTACCCTGCAGAGGGTAAAAGCACCTATCAAGCACTTTTTAAAAACTTGCTATGTAAGTATGGTGTGTAAACCCTTGAGGAAAGAAATGAAAGATATCATTATCCAAGTAATCTCTGCAAATTGTGCAGGAAAAGGAGACAGGTTTAAAGTGATGCGCCCACGAGTGCTGAAGGTGCTCCTCAGTAACAAGTACAAAAGACTCACTGAGAACGTATCTGCTGGGAGAGTCCTACTGCAGGCTTTGGCTTGAGGGTCAAGGTCATCTGGGCCACAGGACTGACTCTCGGTAGAGTCTCTGCCTTCTTAGATGAAGTGTGCTTTGCTGCTTGCTCAGAAGGGCCCCAAGAAGGGGCAGCCCCAGGATTCCCTCCAAAGGCCGTTGACAAGGTGTCCTGGGCAACTGTTGTCTCACAGGCTTTGCCTTTGGTCCCTGGTTTGCACACACAGAGCTGAGGTCGGAGACACATCCCTCCATTCTGGCACGGTGGAACACAGCTTGCTGCAAAAAGATAACAGAAGCAAAGCTTTGAAGAAAAGCACAGTAGACACTTCATTAATTCTTCCAAAGGGATAACAGTAGCATCTCAATTCTCCAATAAAAATCAAACCATACTTCAGCATTCACAATCATGGTGAGTGGTCATGAAGATGATGGCAGCCAGCATCTACTAATCGCTGCCTATGTGACAGGCACTGTTCTAATGTGTATCAGTAAATTCAGTCCCCCAGAAACTACATTTAGTACATATTTTATTTTTCCTCATGAAGAAACAGACAGAAAGGCAAACTTATTTGCCAAAGGTCACACAATGATTAACAAATAGAAGACCAGGATTCAAACTTAGTGAGCTAGTTGCAAAGCCATCATTCTCAGGTACTTTACTAAACCTCCCTCCCAGAAATGCAGCAGAGAGAGAGAGAGAGACTTTTAAAAATGTTCTGCTGGATTTTTTAAAAATTGTATTCTGTATCTTGTTTAATTTAAAACTTTAGTTTTTTTGGTTTTTTCCAAAACTTGGCAAAAACACAATCCCCAACCCCAGGAAGTATTTCCCTAGAGATCTGCACAGGATATCAGAGCTTGGAGAGACTGTTTTAAAATTTAGTCCAATCAACAATTTTTACACATGAGAAAACCAAGGGCACAAAAGTTGAAAGTCACCCAATATATACTTATTACTTTGTATACAAATTCAGAGCACTAACAGTACAATGAAAAGCAACCAAAACCAAAATTGCTAGGGCACCTAAACTTTGAATCACCAGAGTTGTAGCCAAGAAAGGTTATCAAGTTAGCAGCATTCTGGGTCAGGGGCAACATTTAGTGGATTTGGTCATAGGCAAGGTGCTCTGTGAGTTTAGATTGTGGACTTAAGTTTTATTAGGTAACACCACAGGTCCCTGCATTCCTTTATTTGTTCAAATATATGTATTATGCTCCCCTTATGTCAGTCCACCTGACTTAAATTCTTGATCCTGAGATCACACTATCAGAAGTCCCATAAAATTCAATGCCAGATATAGTCCACAAAATAATTACAATCCAGATGAGGGATGTAAGCCATAGGAAATTCTATTGTTAAGAGCCAAATTACCAAGGCCTGACAGCTCTGAAAGCTATTCATTTCCTACAAAAGGAGAAGGCATTTTTCTCATCTTAGTACAATGTTATTTTTTAGTGATAGCAAATAAGAAATTGCCCCAAAGCAGCAGAATGATAAATTTTCGCAAAATTAGAAAGGAAGAGCAGCTCAGTGGAAGAGCCCTTACCTAGCATGCACAAGGCCATAGCTTCAATCCCCAAGGTGTTTGGGGCATCAAGAGCACAGCGGCTGCCTGTTCTAAAATGGTCCCCAAGGGTTGCTCCCATATTAGGCTTGCAGAATCAGAATTCAAAAAGCTATGGGCTTCCAGAATGCAGGATGCTAACACTTCAGCATTCTCCTAACTGAATGTCACAAGAATGGGAACAGAAGGGGCCAGGAGTGAGGACCAGACTAAGCTTTCAACACTCGGCCTCTACCAGAGCTCACCCCTGGCACTTTCATGTATAAGTTCTCTGCATGCTTTCAATTAGAAACACATTTCAGCTTAACATCTGAGAACGATTTCCGCTTCTCCTCCCTCCCAAGGTGTACTGCAAAAGTCTACTACCAGGAAGCAGCTTGCGAAAGCCAAGGACTGAAATCATCCAAAATACCACTCAACGTGCCACAAGAGACTGTCTTTATGAAGACATAAATGGATTAGAAGTATAAAAGGGGAACTCTTTGGTTTAACTATGGAAATTTTGCATGGAGTACAGGGAACAGGGAGGAGGTAATAAAAATAAAACATAGTAAAAATTTACTAATATAGTTATTTTCTACTGAAAGAAAAGCAAAGCATGCTCTCTAATAGAATGACTACATACAGTACCATCCTCCTGCAGTCCGTTTTTAAAGGAGAATGAGAAGACCATATTCTCTTTCACCTACCCTACCAGGCAGGAACGCCTTGCTCCACAGCATACAGAAGAGGAGGAACTGACTTGAACTGAGACAGAGGACCAATACCCCGCTCTTTTATTTTTAAAGCAAAAGAAGGAATATTTTCCCTGTGTACAAATTCTCAGGATCTCTACTGGTCCCTTCCAAAAGTCCATTCATCTGTCATTGTCTTCTTCATGACCAATGCAAAAACTTGTGAGTATTCACCAGAAAACTTATTCTAACTGAGGTGTTTAACTATGTGGGATATTATAAATAACATTACAGAACTATTTTAAAAACTAGTTTTTCCTACCTGTTGATCCTGTCTACACCTGGCCACTGTGTTTCTGAGCAATGAGCAAAGATCGAGATCTAATCAGCACCTGGGCAGCAGTCCCCAAGCTTCAAAGTGCACATCACCTGGGGAGATTTTAAAACTCCAAAAATAAAAGCCTAACTCCAGCCTGATTATATTAGCATCTCCAGGAAGGGGCCACAGGTATTAGTACTCTTAAATCCTAGGCAACTGCATCAGGCCACTACAAAATGAGCAGTCACATCTGAGGAGCAGGAAGAGGACAAAACTCTAATCCAAACTTACTGCCAGACAGGTCCTCCTAAAATGCTGCTCTTTGAATCATTTTTTCTCCTCTTCATTCAAAAACTTTTAGCACCATTTTGTTGCCCATGGCATAATCTGAAGACCCTGTCCATCTGGCCCCAATTCCCCAGGATGTCACTGCAGAAGCTCCCCCAGCCTTGAGACCGTCACCTCCTTGGGTCTGCACACAGGTGCCCAGACCAAAAACACAGCCCCTCACTTCTGTAAGTGCAAGAGAAACTTCTGGTCCTTCAGTCCTTCCTTGTGTGTGTCTCTCCCAAAGGCCTGCCCACCTCACCAGGACCTTAGCACCATCTGAGCGCCGGTCCTTTTTCATCACTCACTGCACAGCTCCTGAGTGCTGCCACACAGTCAGCTTTTTATAGTTCTCTCCTACTCGCCAGCTAGACCATCAGCAGTGAGGTCAGTTAAGTGGTTTGTGCAACACATTCTGTTCCAGAGGACAAGACTTCATCTTGCTTAAAGGAGTAATACAGATGCAGAGTCACTACCTTCTAAATGATGCTGGGATTTAAGGGCATCTCTAAAAAGAGATAAGTCTATGACTGCATCACTGGGCTTGGTTTATAGTCTACTCAGTCTCCAGTCCTTCAAAGCAAATGTTTTTCCATCAAAACTAATATTCAAATATACTTGCACTGTGCATATAAAGTCTTTAAAAGTATATGATGGTTACTCATAGGAAATGTTTGAGCAGCACAGTATGTTCCAGAAAAAGTCCAAAGGGAGAAACTGAAAAAAAAAAAAAAAAGAGGGGGGATGGGCACTAGTCAAGAACAAAGAGAAACTATCACACTCAAAGAAGTTGTGACTGGTTAGTAAATTTCCAATACAAAAGCCCATTAAAGGAGTTCGCCTAAGACATTCCGGAACAGCAGAAAGTAAGAGCTTCTGAGAGCCCTCAGTATGTGGCAATGAATTTAAAAGGAAGTGGGGAAAACAGCAATTGATAAAGAGGATAACATTGCAAAAAAGACTGTTGCTCAAGAAAGTACAATGAGTTATTAACCCTCTTGCCTCCCTCTTCATTCCAAACACAAAATATTTATTTAAAAAAATATATTTTTACATTTAAAAAAAATCATTTCTACCGACTCGTGATGGAACAACTGTTACCAAACAAGGCTTTTTGTCATAAACAACTGGAAGGCTGGATGTAAGACGTAAAACAACTGTTTTTGCAACACTGAACAACCAGCAGCAAGCAGCTGTGATTCCCAAGCCATCAGTAAGAAGTGCCCGAGGACGAGCGATCCTCTGCAGAGAGCACTCAGTGGACCACAGCCGGGAGAGGACAAATAGACCAGGCATCATGAGTCTCTGCACAGGCACGAGGTGAGGGCAGGTAAGCCCCACTCAGGCTGCGAAGTCCCAGAGCTCCCCTAGGGCACAGACCCTGTGCTGAGCTGCCACAGTCAGGACACTTAGTTGAGACCCCAGAACTGCACTCCTTTGAAAAAGACAATATAATCTCCATTATTCAAAATCAGATAAGAACAGTACTGAAACAAAAAATGAACAATAAATCACAATTATAAGTACAGACACAAAATACTTAAATAAAACATTAGTAAATCAAACACACCAGTATTGCAGAACCAGAAAAGAAAGCAGAACTAATTCCAGAAATACAAGGATGGCTCTAATGTTAGCAGATCTATTAGTATAATTCCTCATATGTTAAAAATTAGATAACAATTTAACTCAAGCAGTATAGAAATGTTTCCAATAAAATTCATCACTTATTCATTGTAACAAATACAAAGGGCTTTTCTCACTCTAGTTAACAATGTTTAGAGCAAATCCACAAAAAACAGCAAACAAAGACCTACAGCAAATATAGGGAAAACATACAAACATTGTTAACAAAACTGGAAATAAATCTAAGTGTCCACAATAATCTCTGACAGTGTTGCACCCCAGGGCCCAGACAAGTAAAAGATCTAACTACCATAAACCAAGAAATAAATACCATTATTTGTAATTTTCCTAGTTTTGTACATATGAAAGTTCTACAAAATATTTTAATTGAAAGAAAAGTCAGCAAAGTTCTCCTCAAGTATAGCAGTGATGGCGAACCTTTCAGAGCTTTCAATGATACAAATGCCTGCTGTTCGCATGTGTGCCATAGATTTGCCACCACTATTCTATACCTGTCCAGAAAAGCAGACAGTACTCCTGTAATGATATGTAACTATACAAATGTAATGTTAAAAATTACCATTCACTATGGCTAGGTTAATTATAAAGCATCCTACATAAATATAACAAAAAATATGAAAGACTTTTGAAGGAAGTTACAAAGCATTTAAAGACAAAGCAAACCCCAGAATATATATATCAAGGTACATCACATACATGTATTATAAAATTTAATTCAAATAAACAGTATTCTCTCCAAATATT